GTGGGACGAAACTTCGAAAATGTGCGTACTGTACAACCCATGTGCGTTTACGGTATGCTGTTCTTTCGATATAGTCACCATCTGTACGACAAAGACCAATGTCCAGAAAGGCAGAAAGTTCATCTTTTTCTATTCCCATTGTAAATCTTATGCCCAGATGAGCGCAATTGAATATATGGAATGAAACATGAAAAACGTTTCAATAAAGAGGTATGCTGAATGCATAAGCAAAAAATGCTACATCTCAATCGCGAATTCTTTCTTTATTTCTCAGAGTAATTTACACAGTGTATTGCACACCAGAAAACATCACCGTATGCCTCTCTCTCGATGTTTTTTACTGAACATGCACCCTGAGCTTTATCTTCTCGTATTCTCAAATCCCAGAGTAGCTTTTGTGGCCCTAGGACCTATATTTCATAAAATTAATGGAANACAATAAACGGAGCAGTTTGTGAGAATTTCGCTGTAGTTCTCATTTTCACGGATATTTTCCCAGGTTTTTCGAGCTGATCTCTTTAGGAGGCTATCCATTTTGTGTCCGATTCGAACGACATCGTCTATTTTTATTTGACTTTTGTACAGAAAAATTCTCAAAGAGATTGAACGACTCCGCGTGGAACAACAAAAACAGGCCGCAATCATTGCGGCTGCCCGAAGTGGGGGATCGACCACCACGAAATCGGACGGTTCAAAGGATTTAGACTTGCTTCAGGAGCGCACGCTTAGCCCGAACACTCTAGCTCAAATGAATCGATTGGAAGGCCAATCGAGTGGCAGTGGTGGCGGTGCTGGAAGTGGTTCCGGCGGTGGCGGAGGGGGTGGAGGGATGAGTGCTGGTGGAGGAGGAGGAGGAGGCGGAGGAGGAGGAAGCAGCACAAGTAGCGGAGAGAACCCCAAACTGGTCACGGAACTGCACGCGTTACGGCAACGCAAGGATGAGCTAGAGACACGCATGAGTAACTTGCAAGTGAGTGTACGTTCGTCTTCGGGTTCCTCCTCTATACGGAGGAGGATATCCCACGCGAACGTGGCTAAATTCATCCGGGGTCAGAAAACAAAAAAACAAACAAACAATGAAATGTTTACGCGACTGATCAGTTGTGTTCCCGTTTTGCATGCGCGATTATAGATAGAAGTGCTGTGGGAATTGAAAACGCAGTTTGACTAAATCCAAATGCAAATAAAAAAAGAATCAAAATTTGTCTGTCTACAGCACTTTATTCAACTGAAGTTTAGAATATATTGTCTCATGATACATATATTTGATCAACGAAAAAATCTGGTTGTTACATTCATACCAATATGGTGGTAGCTTGACACAGGAGTACCTGATAAACACCCTAAACTGCGAAACTGAACGCATTATTTGGATGAGGAAAACTTGGCCTAAGCCTCGAGCTTCTTGCATGTACCGTAGCAAGGAAGCTGAAAATGGCTCTTCCAAATGACCTCATTTGTGTCACAAGAACAACCTGATGAAATGAGGATATTTTTCACTACTGATTCAGCCAACGATAAGTCTAAGTTTTCGTGTATATGATATCTCTGAGATCTTTTCCCCGACCCTGATATCCTAATTAATCAGGTATCTTTGTGAGTAGTCATTAGAAAATTGTCTAAGTGAAGGGAAACAAGCTTTTGAAAGGACACTTGCAGAAGCCAATGTGATGTGCACATTAGATGTGCTAAAGTGACTCAGCAAGGTGGAACTGAACGCAACAGAGAGTTGTTAAAGCTAATTCTATCATTATCAACCGTCAAGAACGAAAACCTCCATCGATCGATCACGGTCAACGGGTGGCGCGACTACACACTGAAAGAAACGCCCACCTGTACCGCATTATGCCAAAACGACTCTTTGTTCCTTATTCTTCTTCACTTAGCTGACCATGTGGGAACAGTGCTTTGCTGAAAGTCACCAGAATCCGTTGACAATGTCTGTGAATTTGCATGAATATCGCGTAGGCTTTGTGCGCTCGGTTATGTGTCCGTTGTTGGTCCATGCCGACGCAGCTATTGTCCCCCAATCGCTTCGGTGGATCAGATCACCAGATGCAATCCGTATTTCACACGTAGATTTAAAACTGCCCAACTCACTATTCCCGCTAGGGAAATAGCATCTTTCTTGTTCGCTTCAGCCATAGCAGCTGGTATTGTTTGCACCAAACAACTCCAACTTTGGGTAGTCATAGATAACTTATCTTTTCTCCATCGTTTCTGGCCTTCATGTGAAACGGTGAAGCACACGGTAGAACTAGCGCGAAAATTCCCAGTAGGGAGTTGTTCATAAAATTCCCTTGTAAGAGAAAGAAACTATCGGGCAATGTCATAAATCTGTAAGTGTACACGCTTTTGTTTGATGAATTATACGTTAAGGCATTGAAACGACGACGTTAACAACAACAATGTACAAACAGTTTCACTTTCGGTTTGTACAACCATTAACTATGCACCTTCGTGTGGCGGTTTTGGTTGCTCTCTTTTGGCTGCCCATTTGAATGAACAAAAGGAGAAAGATAGGAAATGTGATACCAGAGTCGAACAGAAAATGAAGAATTTCAGTGGTCTAAGATTGCAAAGAAATTGAGAAGATGCATGAACGTCACTGTTTACGACACAGCCATATCACTCAGTGCCTCTAAACTACCGGTTACTATCATCCCGAAGTCCCCAGCCAGGGAGCCTAACGGGACCTATGTGACCCAGATTCCTGGTTAGGGTTTCAATACCCTGGTGCCAGGTCTTCGCTTGACTAGCCTTAGATTTTTCCACCCACTACCTGCCTCGGCAAACATCGCTCGCCATGGCAACCTATCTGGTGCCATGCTTAACACATGCCCCAACTAACATAATCTAGACCGGGCGACCAGATGTTCCAGTGGGTAACAAACCAGGTAACACAAAAGAGAAACCGAATCTCTATGGCCTAAAGTTATCGAACGATCTGTTCACTCTCACGAGATCCACTCACTATACCAGAGACGAAAACACATTGTTGAGGTCAGAATTTTTAACTTCGGTTCAAATGTACTTTTAGCCGACGAAACTCCGCATCAAAAGGCAAAGCGTGGTCAGACTCACAAGCCTGTCCACCCACACTCACACACCTTTGAATCGTTTGTGTTTCTGGTGCGATGATTCGATAAGCTTTCTGTTGACCTTTCGCCGCTCGTGTCACAGTTGTCAGGCCTTAACGGACAAAACACATGCGATTTTACTGAACGCTTCCGGTTTGACATATGAACCGTAGCTGAAAATTCTACTCAGCAGTGTTTTCGTCTTTGTGAATCCCCTGGGTTGCGAAAGATGTACCACTTAAGTGAGTGGGTAATCCCCAACACAAGTGAATAGCAAAATACGAGTCGTAA